GATAATTACTTAATTCATTTCTTAAAATAAGGACAACAATGTACTAGGGAACCTGTTGTACCTAGGACAGTATTTTAGATATGTATTTTTTATTTTGATTAAACGTACAGCACACGAATCATATTTGCATATTTTGAAAGGTCAATTATTTAGTTACTCTCTAAAAAAATATCAGAAATGTATATTTCATATTTAAATATATTTTAAAAGTCAAAGAAATAATGGTAAGTAAGGCCAAGGTACGACATACCCTATGTACCTGGGCCAATACTACGGTGTACCTAGGACATATGGAGAAATTGGGGGTAATTTAAGTAAATTATTAACTTTTATGAACCAAAATCATTTAATTTCAGCGCTCTATTATTATATTCAACAAAACACTTTAGGAGTTTTGAATAAAATCAAAATAACATTCATAGTTATTTTTTTTTTATTTTAAAGAAAATCTTTAACATTGCAGCTAACTCGTAACTACTGTTTTTCCACATTACAAATTTAAAAATGAGTAGACTAGATGCAAATCAATCCTGCCTTCGAAATCGTAGAAAATAAAATATTTAAACATTTAACTTTTTAATCATTATTTCTCTCTTAACTTTTTAATCACTCATTAAGACTAGCTATTATATGAACACTTTTAGTAAATATATTATTCAGCCGTAAGGATTTAGTAGAAGTCCCAGTACTTCTGTATCTCTGGAACATAATAAATTTCTCTATTCTTGTTTACTTTTTGTGGGGTTTTAATTTTTTCTTTAATGTCACTTTTCGGGTACAAATTCAAATCCTCTTTTTCAGGCCATTTCCAGTTTTTAAGTGATTTTTGCATCGATTTCAGTAACACGCCCTCTTCAGATATGGATTTTACTTTTCCGACAAAAAAGGAACCTTCATATACAAATATAACATAGTCTCCAATATTGTAATTTTCTTTATCAGCATGTTCATCTTCGCTGTCATTGTCGGAGGCACCGTCAGGTGTGTCACTCGGTGAATAGTTGGTAGAATCTTCACTGGTTTCTGTTTCGGATAGTATTCTTCTTTTTATCTTTTTTGCATTATTGAATCTGGTTTTATTTTGAAATCTATTTTTTCCCAAAATATTTATGGACTCTGCTTGATTAAATTTTGTAGTAACATGTTTTTTGCCCTTTATATTTTCAATTTCTTGCTTTTCTGGTGTATCGGTCAAAATTCTGGATCTTCCTTTTTGTCGTCCTTTTCGTGTTTCTTTACGAGGTTCGGCTTTTGGATGAGGGCGTATTACAGCCGGCGATATCAAAGTTGGCGAGTTTACGTGTATAACTTCGAAATCTGAAACAGTCGGCTGATTAAAGAGCACCTCATCAATTCTGGTGGGTGATTTTTCAATAAATGGACGATCAGAATAGGATGCAGGCATAAAATCAGCATCTGTGTAGATGTTTTCATTTAAAGGATGGAAACCAGTTGAACTAAAACCTTTACAAATATTATTTGGTGTGAAGGCAAGAGGAAAAGCTTTTCCCACCAAGCCAGCAATATCATATATAGTTAATGGTTTTCCCACATGACCTGGTGACATTAGTAACTCGTTAGCTGCTGTATTAAAATAAGTCTTGAAAGGCCCAAAAACTGACTTGTCTAGTGGTTGCATATGGTTACTAGTATGTGGATGTAGAGTAATAAGTTTAACATAATTATCTTTGGCCATTTGTATTGCCGGTACTGAAATATGACTTTCATGATTGTCCATTATAAGAATAATTGGTTGTTCTTTGGTCGGCTTTGCATATTTAATAAAATGCTGGAGGAATATTACAAACATGGACTCGTTTGACCAACCGGATGGATTGGCACCACCAATACTGCCTTCCGGAGCTCCAGTTATCATAAAATCTTTAAAGTTTACGCGAGGGAATATCAACATGGGTGGAATGAATCCACCACCTGCATTAATAGCCGCTATCATTGTAACCGTCGTTCCTCTTTCAGCGCTAGTCATTGACCCAACTTATTTCACGCCAAGAGGTGCTAATATCTTTGGAGGTATATGAACAGTGGACAATCCAGTTTCGTCTAAATTCCAGATATCAGTCGCTTTTATGTCAGAGGGACATTGAGAAAGGACTTTCTTAAAATTGTCGAATGTTTAACCCACAGTATGTTTGTTAAATGCCGAAGAGCGAGCTAAACTAGTAGCTTCAGGTTTTCTCAAAGACAATTCGTTCTGGTATCGCTTCCTGAATAATCTCAGCCAATAATCTCCAGCCATTTTGTTTGTATCCTAGCTTTTAGGGTACTTTTTTCCATTCGCTTTTGCAAATTGGTATGCAAGTATTTTCACGTCTTTTAGAGTTAATCCAAATTGCAAGTGCGCTGCCTCTTTAATATAGTCCACCAGACTATTCTCTTCGGTACGATCAAAAACTTGATTAACTGCAAGGTTTTCGTGTAACTTGCTTACATCCTTACCTATTTCCAAACAGTGCTTTAAATGACGACGCAAAGTTGTTCTTGGTAGTCCAAAATGTTTGGAAGCACCGAAAGTGGAGAACTTTTTCTCTTTAATCATTTTTATTGCATTTGTCAGATCTGCCTCATTAATAGGCGTCCTTTTCTTCTTGTCTTTACTTCTAGGCATGATTTCTGAAAAAATAAAGATACTTGATTATGAATTTAGAACGTGAGTGTGAAATAATTTAATATAATATTCTCATGGCCAAAGTACAACATCCAGGTTGTACCTTGGCCACTGACCAAGGAACAACTGATCGACAGTGACCGAGGTACAACACTACTCCAACTTCAACAAAACGATGGATTTTAAATAGTTTAAAGGTTACTTATCTTGGAAGTTTTTTACTGCTTTGACACTTGTTTAATAAAAGAACCGATAGCATATAAAAGTCAAGTGACTTTTATAAAACTTTCGTAACTATCGGACGTTAAAATATATTAGAAATACTTACTTTTTTCGCCAGAAAAAGTTTCAACGTCAATAATACCAAACACCGGCTTAATGGCGGTATACGACTAACTTCACATTGAATAGTCTGTAGTGACGTACCGAATACCATAGATAGTAGAATTTAGTATCGCGCGAATATTTAAATCTAGCCCAGTGGCCTAGGTACACATAGTGCCAAGGTTCAACAGGTTATTTATTCTGATGTCGATTCTTCTGAATAAATCAAAACAGCTCAAAAGAAAAGAAAATTTGTTAGTTATTACCACCAGTAGTATCGGAAAGACACGGACGGAAACGAAAATAAGTCCATGTTTTTTGGCAATCTCGGCGCCACAACGATGGCGTGACATGACCATTTGAGACCTAATGTCATATATCTATACATAGAATAAAATGGTAGGAAAGTCAAAACTGTACCTTGAATATTTTTTTACAAGAATACTTGGGGTGTGATCTACAATCGATACCGAAGCCAAAAATATAGTTTTTAAGAATTTTTGTCTGTTTGTCTGTATGTATGTCCGGGATAAACTCCAAAAGTACTGCATGATTTAATTCAAAATTGGCAAGAATATTATTAAGAAGTCGGGTCAACACATAGGCTACATATTATCACGCTATCACCTACGGGGAATGAGCAGTGAACATTTATTTCTAACTAACTCCACGCGCACGAAGTCGCGGGCGGTCGCTAGTATTAAATAAAATAGATGGTTATTAGTCTGTCAGTCCCATAGTCTCGTCTAAGGTAAATGAACTTTTATATTGCTTCTTGTGGTCCCCACTTAAGTAAATAAATCCTTTAATTTATAAATCTAGAAGTTAAATGCTTAAAATATAATAAACCTTTAGCGGTGTCTCACTTTACCAATTTAAATTGAGTCACGTCGAGAGTTCATGGTACAGCGATAAGTAGTGTGTAATGAACGAAATCGTTCCTCTATTTATTTCAGAAGATAACTACATATACTGAGATGTAAATGGCGTAATACACTGTTCATTACTACACCTTTATCTCTCTCCTAGCTTTTCCGGCACATTTAACATCTGTCAGCTCGAGACAGGTTATTTACGAGACCGTGTTCATAGCTTCGGACCTTTTCTGGGACTATGAGCAGGGATCTTTTCCGCTTGACTTGAATTCGACTAGGAAAACATACGGACGATTAACTAACAATGTTCTCCAAAAAACATTGAATTCTGCCAATGCCAACAATTATACAAATAATGCCAACTTAAAATCACTACCAGTACATATCCCAAGATATCCTGAGATATCTTTATATATATAATTCTTCTGTGAGTGTGTATGTCACTGAAATTCTCTTAAACGACTGGACCGATTTTGATGAAATTTTTTGTGTGTGTTCAAGGGGATCTGAGAATGGTTTAGATTCACAATTTTGTCCGCTGGACAACTCCTATTTTTTTTTGCGGTACGAAGTTCGCTGGGTCAGCTAGTATAAATATAAAGGACAAAAAGAAGAGATGAATTAGTATTAGATGATATGGATTTAGATGACACAAGCCCCATTAACTTGACCAACAAAACACGGAGACCCAGTATGGATTGGTGCTAACGACTGCAAATGCAGCCGGGACCAACGGCTTAATGTGCCTTTCGAAGCACAAAAGAGCTTGAGATAATAAGTATCTGGTCACCTGAACAAATGAACAATGAAGCCGGTCAAATGAACCGAAAATTGGAAAAGCTGCTTAACCACTTGCACCTTTGAGCTCCTCCAGTTTTTTTTTTCATATTATAGGGGCATACTAGCTGGCGGCTCACCAGATGGTAAGTGATCACCGTCGCCCTTGAACATCTGCAGAAGTATCACAAATACAATGTCAGCCTTTTGGGAAGGTTTAATCTCTTCTTTTGACGGTTTTCGGGTCGTATTGGTCCAGAAATGCTGTTGGTGCCAATGTATTCCACAGTTTTGTCGTACGTGGTAAAAAAAAATCGACAAAATCGCAAATTCGTGCATAGCCGTGCTTCAAGATGATAGATAGGTAGATATTTTATAAGATGAGATAATGCACTCACCGTGATGGTTGTGGTTGTGCCTCGTGAAGCGAGGCGAGGGTGGCAGCGCGGGCGCACCGTCGCAGCGCACCTCGGCCTTCAGCCGCGACCCCGTGCGCGGGTTCACCTGGACGCCCACCACTCCCGAAGCCACCACGCTGCTCTCACCCTTCGCAATAATAATAACAAAAATATATACCTACCTTCGAAGTAAGATAAGTTCTTAGTAAAAAAAGAAAGGAATTATAAAATATGACAGCAGTCATAAACACATTTTAAGGTCATTACTACGGTACGCTTACGGCTCGCCGACCGCTAGTTGACGGCTAGGCGGCACCAGTTCTATCAGTTTGAATCCGAATGCGCGAGGGGGATGGGGACTAAGAGACGTCAGCTAGGGTACAGCGAGATGTTTACCGTGTTTACGCTGGAACTACAATTTGACCTCGCACCGCAACGCGGTAATTACGTTACGATTCGGTTTATTATGCGTTGTAGTATGGAGTTTCAGACAAAGAATACTGAACGGCTCGATTTGACACGGTAACGATCCCTTTCCGAGTTGATATGTGTGTTATGACCATTGCCCACTACTCCCGTAGCCAAACTTCAATGATGTCAATATTTGGTATCTATTGGTTGGATATAAACAGTTGACAATAATGTGCCAGCATGTTGTCAATAATAGTTCCGAAAAAGCCTGCCGTTAAAGGGTTTTTAATATCTGCATTGAAGAGATGGTGAATGGTTTATTAAATATTTTACCTTTGGCGCATTATTATATGTTTTACCTTTGCTCCCATCAGTATAGCTGACAATCTTGTAAAATTCTGTCAAAACAGAGGATACATTACTATCCTCAGTATCATATCATAATTTTCACTTAACGATATTACCTAAGATGTTAGCAGTACTGCACTACGTTTATCAACCAGCACAAACATAACAAGGTTTACTTTACCGACCATGGAGGATCGAGAGGCATATGAAAAATATGTAACAAACACACTGTTAAGGAAATACTTTAGCCATAACTAAAACCAAAATTATCAATTTACCAATAAATGTATCTACCTCAATAATACTTACATATTTTTTTCCTATTATCAGTCATTTGCTTTTCTGTGTAAAGACGACTATAGTAAATCTACTATGGTCATCTCTACACAGAAAAACAAATGACCAATGACTACTATTGTATCCAATCGGATACAATAGTGAAACTATTTGACGTTGAGCAAAAAATATTTTGAACAAGTAAGTAAATCGATCAATCTTTATCCACTATCCGTCGTTATGTGTCATTAGCGAAAACTAAAAATTATTCACATACCCATATATCGCTATAGATTTACAGTTGATGTGAACAGTTCTTAAGTATACATTAGACAACGAAACATAGGTATTTATAAATGAAAGATTTAAACGAATTGTAAATTGTTTTTAATTTAATTGTGCTAACATAGCGTCTGAAAACCCTTTTCCATTCCGTGTAAACAAGACTGAATACAAAATATGTATTCAAAAGCTACGTAGCTATTAATTTTGAATTAATCTCCAGACATGTGTTTTATGAATTAATACTCATCAGATTGCAATCATTCAGCAATTGATATTTTTTTGCTTTGGTTTCATAGGTACTTATTTTTATTCGCACTGTTTAATTGGATTCTATTTGTGCCAATAAAAACACATAAATTAAGTTAACTACGTCGCGATAGATTCGAGAATCTAACTGAATAAAGATACGTTAACGCCTGAATAATATAAATTTAATTTAATTCTGTAATGATATCTGAAGTTACTAAAAGATTAGTTGGGTTGGAAATATAAGGAACAATTACCTACATAAATGCTCATTAGTCATTGTCATAGAAAACCTTTCACACGATGTGTCTTAGCTCAATTTTGTCCACACAATCAAGGAAATACAACCCAGAAACATAAAACCCAAATACATTGTGGACAACAAGGAAGAGTTGTCATGAACTTGATAAATATACAGTGCCAACGCCAACACGACAGTGCAATACTTTTCATATTAATATTTATGGTATTTGTACTCCAGTTAAGGATGTTTAATATGTATTGCTATATAAATATACTTATATATGTATCAGTATATGTATTCTATCCGTTACCCCAGTATCTCATAACACAAACCTACAGTGCTTACTTTGGGTCTAGGCTAATTGGTGTGAGTGTTTGTATATTTATTTATTATTTGATGACAGACAGTTATGGATGTAGGTACAACGTAAAATACGTTGCGGTGTGATGTTTGGGGTTTTATATCTGTATATGACAAAAGGACGTAGTGAAAGAAGTAGACTATGATGGGTTACCATATTTTTTTGCTTTTCTAGAATTAACAAATTAGAAACTGTATTGAATAAAGAACATAATATGTATATTTGAATATGTAATCTCCCAATATGTAAGTATTTTTAATAAAATATAACATATTTTCATGAATGTCTATCATTTTGCGCATTGAGGTAAACATATTTTTCTATCTTATATTATTTGCTAGGTATTTGCTGAGCGTAGCGAAAAATCGTTATTGTATGTGATTCATCTTAAATCGGCCCAGAAGGCTTCGAATCACGTTTCAAGTAGGTACATTTATCTAGGTATCTTATGAATAACATTTTCGTTCAGCTAATCTAAGGATCAGTATCTAAGCTCATTTAAACAATTAAAAAGCGTTACAAATCCCTGATTTAGGTAGAATCATCGTTGAAGCAACGATATAAACTTACTGATTCCTGAGCCACTTGCAAGATAATTCGCTTAAAATGAAAAAACAGACGCAAGTTTTTTTTATATTAGGTTGGGGAAAAAGTTTCTTCGCATATTATATGAAAATTAAAAACATCATTTAATAAAGTTTATTGACATTTAACTACAGTATGTAGGTACCATTTTGTTCGATATTTTTTTGCCATAGTTAAGGTAAGGACATGATCCCATGGCTATAGAAATTTTGGGGATTCTGATCGATCTGACCGCGACAAGGCTTTTTGGCAGTTTTATCGCGATGTTAACCTGACACTGCCTAAAAAATTCTGAAGAGACCGAAACAGGTGGAAATCTTAAGATTATCAGAACTATACGGCGGATGCATTAACATCTCCCCAGTCAAAGTCTCGTAATTTTTGCTGAGTGGTTAAAAATGTGTGAGTTCTAACGTTATCATGATGAAAAACCACACCCCTTCTGTTGATTAATTCCGGCCGCTTTCTCTCAACCTCTTGCTTTAGTTTCACCAGTTGTTTGCAGTAGAGTTCAGAATCGATGGTCCTGCCTGGCGGTAACAGCTCATAATGAATAATGCCCTTCCAATCCCACCATGTACACAGCATCACCTAGTTGCGAGATAATCCGGGCTCCACCAGTCTGTGAAGCTTGGCCTGACCCTAACACGACCTTTTTCACACGTTATTGACGTACGTGATCCACTTTTCATCACCAGTTATCAGCTTAAGTCATTTATTCAGTTTAGGCTGTTACAAGCACTTGTGAAGGTCAAGAAGCTACGCCATCGGTTCGCAAAACTACGGCGGGAGACCTTGTACTTATAAACTCAGCAAGGGCTGCTTTTTTCTCCCTGTATTATTATATATAGAGTCGTTAAGTTGAAAAATGATGTATCTAATGATGATGATAATGATGTATCAGAAGTATCTCTGAAGTCACCTTCCATTACATCATTTAGGATATAGATTATAGTTACAATAAATTTTACATTTGGTATATAGGAAGCGGCATTAGATAGGTACCATATTACTGTTACAAAAACTGACTAATACCCATTAAATAACAAATTACAAGAAACACTATGTCCATACATTACCATCATTTAGACAATCATTAACTTTATAATAGCCCTTATTCATAAGAGTATTCTTGATCTGAGATTTAAATTTGGTTACTGGAAACTCAATCAATTCTTGGGGAACTTTGTTAAACAATGCAATACTACATCCCAGAAATGAACCTTTTGATTTTTGGAGTCTTAAACATGGAACGGCAAGCTTGTTTATAAATCTCGTGTTAAAGTTATGAGTTTGAATATCGCATTGTAACGTCAACATTATGGGGAGGTATCCACAGGGAGGCGGAAAATCTGTCGTGTCAAAAATTGTTCCTCAGAAAATAACTTGTCTGTTTCCGTTGTTTAAGGATACGTTCCTACGTATAATCGAAAATCCACCTTATTGTTTTGCAATGGAGCCTTAGACTTTACACACAGACAGAAAACACAACACCACCATAAGGTAGAATTACATAAAAAATATGTATTCGAAATTAAAGCCGAGGATAAAACTTGACTGGAATTTAGCGGGCGAATACAAAAAAAAAAACAATATAAAAAGAAATGTTTCTTTAACATTGCAAAACTAATTACAGCGATTTAATCGCTTTCTCCAAGTTTTTTCATAGTCTAATTAATCATACCTGAACTACGCATTTGATATTTATATCAGAGTTTTTTTTTATTTAAATTGAAATTCGTTGCATTCTGTTATTTATTCATTTGTTAGATGTTATTCGAAAAAATCAGATTGTGAAATTCGGTAGTGATGTACCCAAAGCCTTAGCCAATATGAGTATAGGTAAAAATCTGAGTCTTTATCTCGTTATATTTTCTTTAGATTTAAACATCAAGCAGTTACATGCTTTTAAAATAAAAATTATAACTAAGTCTGAATCTTACTAACATTTCCAAGAACGACACGAAGACAAACGGCAAGTCGTCAACGAAACATTTTAAATGATGTTAATTTATTAACAGAATGCTTATCTATTTCCACTTTTGCAAAAACATTTTTCTACTTTTGCTTTAAGAATTTACCGTATTCAAACGTGTACAGCATAAAATTTGCACAACAAAGCAGCTTTTCGTGTGGTGCTTTCAAAATTGGTAAAAGGAAGTTCAGGTGAAGACAGTGTTTGCAAGCTACAGATTCTTTAGAAAAGAAAACTGCACGAAAGCAACACATTTTCTTCGTCTGCATATAAAGAGAGTGGCATTTTTCGTGTACTAAGCCTTTAAAACTCGCGTGGAGAATCTTTTATCCTTTGCACATCATTAACTTGCCACGAACAACAAAGAAGTCTTGTCAAAAAGACAATTGAATACTTAAGCGATTTACGCAAGCCCTGATTTATTTTTTTACTGAAATTCTTTGAAATTGGTTATTAAGGTAAACAAAAAAGTACATGTTGAAGTTATAACTATCAAGACCTTAATTATCGTTGCGGTGAATGCAAGTGATAAAATGGGGAACAGGGTGACAAAATGATAATAAAAACTAAAATAAAAACTCGTATCGTTAATATCATAAAAAATAAAAACAAAACCCAAATAATTTTTTTAAAGGTATTCATAAAATTATTCTTGATTAAAATAAATATGATCATAATTATCTCCAATGGAGATGTTAGACATACTTATGTGTTAGAAAAGTCACAAGTTGAATTACTGTCTAAACTCTCCAATGGACTTTGTATATAATCCGCGCTACGTTTTTTAACGTAACTGTAATACACTAATGTATATTATAGTTGATACTTTTAATCAGTAAGCCACTGGTTTCCAATAATTCCTTCATACATAAAAAATAACTAATCTACGTCTTCGGAAATAAAAAAAAAGAATTAAACGAAACACCACGTGTAAACAACACACTCGTTAGTGATTTATCTCAATTATTTTTATCTCATCCCTGTAGTCACATTGTTAATCTTAAAATAAAAATTAAAGAATATGAAATAATAATATTTAAATATTACGAACCTTTGGCGAGTCTGTGTCTAAGTTGATGAAGAGCAGGCGCGCGAGCCGCTGCAGCACCAGCTCGCGCAGCAACGCCGGCACCGGCTGCCCTCTCACTCCTCTACGAGCAACACGATACGTTCATACGACTAAGCTTCCCTATAATAAGCGCCGCAACACCACGATATGAAATTAAAACAAACGAGCGAGCCTTACAGTAGTCGCGTATGATGTGTAACATTTGAAACCTCACCTTATATTAGTAAAAAAAGAAATAAAACCTGCTACAAAAGGAATAAGCCATTTGAACATTATGTTCTAAATTCAAATCAAATAGCGCGCGCTTTCGCGACTTCCTGTTACACACTTCCGTCCCATTTCACGAAATCACTCCCACAAATTGCAGGAAAGCGAGAGGAAAGATGTTACACATCAAAAACTTTATTTCGCCACTTAAATGTCAAACAACCATGGATTTTGACAGTTGAGTGGCGAAAAATAGCTTACAAACTCAACTGTAGTGTGACAGTTAATTGTCGAAGAAAAGCTTTATCATATCACATCGCGGTGCTTATGCTCAGATCATCCCCTCTAGCATGACCACCGAAACGGGATATGATAAAGCTTTTTATCGAGTCTTAACTGTCAAACTCCACTGTAATCTGCCAGTTAATGCCGATATATCGCTTTATCATATCCTGTTTCGTTGGTCATGCTACAGGGGCAGATGCGGGTATTTAGCTCGCGCAGCAGTGCCGGTACCGGCTGCCCTCTCACTCTTCTACGAACAACATGATACGTTCATAAGACTAAGCCTTATCATGAGTACCACGATATGAAAATAATGATAAAACATTATTTCGATACTCAACTATCAAACTCAACTGCAGTTTGAAAGTTGACTTTCGAAAAAAAATTGGTTTGGTTTAATGAAACCACGACGCAAATGAAACTTTTAAAATAATTTAGGATTTAATAGGGATTCGAACCCAAGCCGTATAGCAGCTTTCTACCACTGAACCACCGATGAATGTTGATAAAGTCTGATTTTCAATAACAATTAAAAATGTTCTGCGACATATTAAAGATGAAAGAAAAAAATTGTAGCGATTTAATCTAAAAGTTTTACTTTAAAAAGCTTTATCATATCATATCTGCTCGAACAGCAGTTCCGCGCCGGCTACCCTCTCACTTCTCTACGAGCAACAAGATAACTTCATATACGGCACTTTACATGTTACACCGTTTACCCGTGTTCCCGCAACTTTGAACCGCTTAGACCCAGCGCAAGCAGTGGGTGGGACATGGGTAGTATTGCCAGGTGCCCCGATTTGCGCAGGACGTCCCAATCAGTGATGCCAACTTAGCAACTTTATAGCTAGATCTAGCTATTATTTGGTATCACACAGCTACAATTTAATAAAATTTGTAGCTAAACTATTTAGCTATTTTTTCTAGCAACTTCTCATTTCATCATGACAGATTCTTAGAGTAGGGTACCAAATCTTTAACGAAAAACTAAAAGCTGAACCCGACTCTATATAAATTAAAGATACTATGATATCGGTCGTAAAGTAGTGCGCACCACTCGTATTCTACTCATTTTCTTTTTGTTTTATCCATATAAAACTTATGCTCGCTGTTTTAATTTTAGGTGAAAATGGATTTACCCTTGTGAAAAAAAACATACGTACAGAAATACAGACAGGTTGGTTAAAAGCAGCAAGTGGAGTCTCAAGCAAAGCGTTTAGTACTAGTTGTTCTACGGAAACTCTTCTAAAACTGTTTGTCATTGAAACATACTAGGACAAAAAACTTAGACAGAAAGTAGAGTTCCAAACGGGTACGTGAATTTAAAACTCGTTTTGTTGAAAGTAGACTTTTTCGACGGGAAAAATTAGTATGATAATTTTAGTTTATAACTTTTTCTTTTTAGAATAAAGGTCTCAAAGTCATTTTTATGCATCTACGGTCAGCGTTGATATCCCTTATTGTAATATAGTATCTTTTTTACCTACTGGAAGATTTAGCTACTTCTAGCAACTTTTTGAGGTAATAAAAACTGACAATCTATCAACATTTTGTAAGATGTCTAGCAACTGGGCAATGCTAGTAGTTGGCAACACTGGTCCCGATTTTCAGGGGTCTGGGGACGCGTCCCGATTTGTACCTGATCGGGACGCTTAATGTCTCAATTAATCAATAAATTAAATTTAGGTAATTAATATATTACTCGTACTATACTATACGTACTATTCTTGCACTAGAAGTTTAAAACGCAATAAATTAAACCCAGACTTAAAAATCCCTTCTTTTTTGTTCCAACCGATTAGGGTTACACCCTAAATCAAAATTTTTTTGACCTCTTGTACCGATTTAAAACAAATCGGACCTGGCAACACTAGACATGGGTAACAAATTGTGTCATTATAGCAGGTCTGTTATAAATGCGCAGGTAAAAAACCGTGTGTATAAGCACGCACAGCAGTGCTGTCAATCATGTTATATTTCCAGTTAAAGGTTGTTACTATACCACGCATAATATTTAAATGCGAAACAATACGGAGCTTAACTAACTTAATTTTAAATAGAGGGTAACAGTTTTAATGTCACGTATTTCATCATACGTGACGTGAATTAAAGATTAATATTTTTTTTGCTTACACAGTGACTACACAGTATGTAAAGTTATCGGATATCATATTTCAGTACAAAATAGGATAAGCGATTTTTTCATTATATTTACATATTAATATTTAAATTACAAAAGCTGTGGAATAAAATGTGTGAAATAATAAATAAAAAGTGGAAATGCTTCCAACCTATTGGGCACCATTCCTGAAGTCAGCGCGAGGGGTGATATGTTTTTTATTCTGTAGGTTTTATATTATTTAAGTAGTTTTTTTATATTTATATTATTTAATTGTCTTTAAGTTTTATAGGATAAGTACATATATTTTTTTTATCATGTAATTTCTTCTAAAACGTCACAAATGGACAATACAGATATGAGATTTGAACAATGTTGACTGTTTGTACCATGTTATGTACATGATACAAACCAAAAATATTATCAGAAAGTAAATATATGTCCAGTTTACAAAGGATGGTCTTAGTAAGTACAGATTCATTATGCCTTTACTAAATACATCCTTATTCGTTGGCCAGGGTAATCGGGCAATCCCTGCCAGATTTATATTGACGCCTAACGTGATTAAGCAAAAGCGGCACATTACACTTTCTTCCATATCCACCTAGATATCGGAGATATGAAAAGAAAGCCATGTCAACTATCTGTAAATATATATACATCGTTTTCTTTTTTTTTCTTTTGTGTTTAATATAATTAGTTAATTAGTAGAAACCGACTTCCAGTATGAACTCGATATAAAATTACAAATATAATCTTCATGCTAGTTAAACACAAACTTACACTTTTGAATTGATACATTTATTTATTTAAACACAACTATAATGACTGCTAAATCTCGAAGGTTAGAGTTCTCATACATTTGTCAACCCTGCTCGGCGCAGCCTCGCCCGTAACAACACAGATCGTGGGACAGCGCCTTAAGCGGTGTAATATTTGAAAAGAAAAGGCGAACAATGATTTGTCTCTCCGGTACAGGACTTCAAAAAAATGTGCATTATGTCAAACACTCGGTAAATTGTTTTCACTCTCGTGGCGCGATATATTATTTACCTTAGAAGGTTTTTATCTTGAAAAATACAAATAGGTACCTATTTAAATTAGATTTCAATATAAACAACTCGGCTGCTCTAAACTAAATTCAAGTATCTGCATTTTCACAAATTTTACAGGGAAACAGAATAAGTTTTTTTTTCTTAAAAATCAATTATCTTAACATAAAATGAACCTATTGAAGTGATTTTTTGAAATGTTACCTAATGTAAAATGTAAAGTAATGTACTTTACCATTTTTAAAGTATGTCTGGTTTTACATACTTGATTTTCTTTTTTTCCCATGATATACTTGGTTTTAACTTATTTTTTTTATTATAATTGAGAAACTTGAATCCTTTTTTTCTTAATAGCTTTAAAACCAAAAAGTTATGTTTCTTTTTAATGTAAAAATGTGCGTCTTTTTATAAGGAATCCAACGGTGTAAAAATAAAAATATAACATTTTTTCGAGATACTTGATTCTAGCTTAGTGCAGCCGAACTTGAGAAGTTTTTTAAGTTAATGAAATACATGTCTGTCTGTAGGTTAAGTAATAAAGATTAAGGGGCAAATATTAACTTTTTAGTCAATTTGGGTTTTTTTTTTTCTTAGAAAATGAAATTCATTAAGTCTTAATTTCACAACGATTCGAGGTTATTTAATCTTTTTTATTTCATACTTGTCCAAACACTTTCCAAATTGTCTTGTAATTTCAAATATGCTGTCAATACCATCAACAGAAATGGTTTAATTCCAACATTGCGATATAAGCAATGTCAGCAATAGTACCTATACAAGCAAACGGAAATAATTACGTGCGTTTAGAATATAAGATAAGGCAGATACGCCTGGAATTAGGCACTTTATTTAATTAGAAACTCACTCAGTAGTTCGTGTATTTATTAACGTGGACTTTGGTACTAATAAAATAATGCAATTATCTCAGTTTATCATAATGTGCCTTCAGTTTATAGAAAAACAATTATTTTGTAAATATAAGTATATATTGTTTATAAAATATTAATTATAAACTTATTTTGATATTCTTTTATGTATAAAAATTGGTTTACCAAGAAGGTTTTTTTTATATATAAGAGTATAATGTCACAATTCTAATCCATCAATATAAATCATAAAACACTTCTGCGTTTATCGTCAGAAATCGGATAGTAATAATTTTCCCAACTTTCGATCGCAAATTATCCGACTTCGATTTCCGCCACTGTTTCAAGGAGATCTAGTTCACACATTACACCCAATACGTCTGAAATTGGTCTGAAACCATTGCTAAAACACTTGACAATGAAAACAAAAGACTTAACTGCCGTTTCGTTTACCGCTCAGCTAATCCACTTGTCCATTTGTGAAATTATAAGGGAATTTGTTTCCTCATACATAAGCGGTGAATTAATGTGGAAATTATCTCAACTCAGTTAATATTTATAAAGCTACGCATAATGAGATTAACCATACAGAGTGAAAGTTTAAACAATTCAAGTGTTGGCAGTGGATGAACACGAAATGAGAAACATTTTAATCGTTGACATAATCGTGCACATTAATGAATCCTTATATACGAGTAGGATCAGATTCTTACAGGAATTTATTTTTAAGCGCATTAACGAATTGAACGATGAATTTGTTTTGTATTGGAAATACGACTCAAAATTCATTCTTGAACTATTGAACATTAAACCAATTTTTCTGAAAAAAAATTTTTAGTGAAACAATGTAATTTCCGCAGCAAACCATAACTTTTAAAAAATTCCTTCTATAAAGACACTTTAAAGAAAGTATTAAGTTTTACGGGTTCAGGCGTTCAGATGCTGAAATATTAAGATAGAACTTTGGCGCTGAAAATAACTTTCATTATCGCTCGTAACACAATTCAATCTCCTAATGCAAACAGAATCACATGACCCATAGTCTTGTTTAACTAATTTCATTTTTGGTTCACTTTAAGTGTGAGTTAATTAATATTTTGTAAATGATGTTCCAATTATATAAGTAGTTAATAATGAAACTCGCCTGTACGATATGTTTAGGGTGACCACCGATAGTGATGCAGAAAAAGATACTAGGCACGTACTAACTCCATAATACAAACCTGCGAAAAAACGAGAATATTAGTTTTAAACAAAAGAGTACTAGAAAAATGCCACTAATAATAGTATATTATATTCTTATTTATGAAATATCTTATTGAGCTATGTGGAAACAATCAAATCACAATAACCTAAAAACGACCAAAGGTCCTATTAACAATAATTAATTATTTTTTATATTTAAACATATCTAGCAGTTATATGCTAAAAATATAATAATATTAGTTTTAGGGTTCCGTAGCCAAATGGCAAAAAACGGAACCCTTATAGATTCGTCATGTCCGTCCGTCTGTCTGTCCGTATGTCACAGCCACTTTTTTACCAAACTATAAGAACTATACTGTTGAAACTTGGCAAGTAGATGTATTCTGTGAACAGCATTAAGATTTTCACACAAAAATAGAAAAAAAAACTATAAATTTTAGAGGTTCCCTATACTTAAACTGAAATTCAAAAATATTTTTTTTTCATCAAAACCTTACGTGTGGTGTATCTATGGATAGATCTTCAAGAATGATATTGAGGTTTAATATTTTTTTTTCTAAACTGAATAGTTTACGCATGAGACACTTCCAAAGTGGTAAAATGTGTGGTCCCTGTAACTTCCAAAATAAGAGAATGAAAAAACTAAAAAAAAAATTGTACATTACCATGCCAACTGCCACCGAAAATTGGTTTCAACGAGATCTACTAAGTAGTTTTTTTTAATAAGTCATTAATCGTAAACCTCTATTTACCTTTCATTCAATCAACTCAAATATAAAATTAAAATAAAAAACATTTAATTTCATAAACATAAACGTTATGCATTAACCGTGAACCATTATTTTCTAATAATTAATCTGTAATAGGTGCCTAAGTAAATAATGATAATTTGCGCGGGGCGTGGCTTGATCTGTAGCGGATGCAAAGCGCGCGGTGGGCAGGTTTTATATTGTTACTTGCTGCTACGGAACCCTTCATGGGCAAGTCCGACTTGCACTTGGCTTTTTTTTATTTTTCAGATATACACTACATTGCATCACCTAAGGCTGACTGTGCGATGCTAAGTAACAGACTGCAATGCTTAAACATTTATATCAATATTTTATGTTTTTTTAACATTGAATAATATTGGTTTATGTTTTATGTAACTAATAACAAAATTCCGAAATAGAGTAAAGAAGCATTATGAAACGCAATAAATACGTAACTGTAGAAAGAAATCTTTAATAACGAATTTAAGGTAGGATAGTAATAAAATGCAAGACTGAAGTAAATATTTATGAAACATTATGAAATGCCATGTTTTGATATAATAAAAATAATCGATAATAGTGATACTCTAGGTATTGTATTATAAATTTGAACTATCATTTTGGGATAATTTATTTATATCACCATTTCCTAAACTAAAGTAAGAGCAAACCCAGTAAATTAATGGTCTACTTAAGCAAAGCACGTAGGCTATTAACATTAATCTCTTTAATGTGTTAGGACAGGGAAAAAAAGTCATGCGACTGTATTTCTGGGATAATGGTACGATATAAACCAATGTCAATGAAAATAATGTACACATATTTTTCCTTTTGTCAATCAACCAAAAAATACAAAGATAAAGCGCGATAAAGTTAGGGAGGGTTCGTGACGTCACTTTTAAGTAAAAATTGTACCAAGACGTGACGTCATGCAATATTTCAAATCAATGTATCTCTGTTATGTTTAGATTATATGAAAAAGAAAAAATACGCATCCAATACTATTTGATAATCTACCTGATAGACAAGGAAAAAAAGTTATTCATCATCCCTATTTTCTTAGATAAAACTAAATTCGACAGCAATAGAACATAACATTGATGCCATTATAGGGAAAAACAATGAAATAAGTTTAGAGTATAATTACAGAGTTAGGCCTAATAAATTATTTAAAAAAGAGTCTTACTAATAAGTGGCGTCTTCTCCGTAGGCGGCAGAGTGTCCCGAATAGTCATCAGGAACACCGTCATTGACAGGAGAGCGCTTATTCCGAGTGTCACTTTCTCTCCTGACTCTGATGGCACGTAAAATACCAGGAGAGCTACGAATAAATAAAAAAAATATGAATGAATTATCAGTTTTCCAACTGACAAAAAAAACGGAGGAAGTTATCAAGTCGACGCGTATATTTTTTTATAAATGATCGATCACGCATAACTTTTTACGCAGCAGTCCCATTTTATAATCATTTTTTTTCATTAAATAGGTTATACCTCGATGTTTTACATAAGACACAAATTGTCTTACATAAATTTAGAAACAAAAATTCTACCCTAAAGGTGGGAAAATAGGGGTGATTGCTTACTCACAGATTTTGATGCTGAGTTGTATATTACAAAAATCAAAGCCACGAATAAATACAAAATAAAACCTTTTATACTAAAAAAACCCACCGAAAATACTTGAAAGCCAAAAATCTTTTTTAACTTTAGTCAAATTAATATTAAAAGTCGGTGCCATATTTGTATATACAGGGCGTCCCACGGGTTTATCACACGAAGGTTAAGTATAAGTAAATAATTGAAGATGATATTTTAATGAAAGAAGATATAATTTTATTTTGAGTCTCGACTCCAAACGCCGTAAATGTGAGTTCTCCACTGAGGCAATCATGGAAAGAAAGAAACAGTTGGTGGAGACCACTGGAGACCGCAGACCTGGCGGCTATTTCGCCCAGCGCATAAGCCTCGCCAATCAGCGGGGAAATGCCGCCAGCGTCCTGGGAACCTTTGCCGACGGGGAAGACTTAGGGCAGCTATTTTTTTAATATTTTTAATTTTGTCTAGTTTTAGTTTAATATTTGCCATGCTGCTTTTGATTTGTTTCTAGAATTATTAATCAATAAATATGTGAATTTTATTTTTAATAATAACTAGAACTGCATTCACAGATTTTTAAAAATTTCCTGCTATAATTGGAAATCAAACAAAAAATTGGAAAAAAAAACACGACGTATTTTATGGTAACCATTTTGTTCTGGAAAATTTTCTCTTTTCCGTGCTACCAACAGATAATGTTAATCATTTCAAAATATTGACCGACTAGTACCTGCTTACTTAATAATACAGAATTTCCTTACTATAAGTACGTGAAATAAATGATAAAGCGATACTTAAACAAACCAAGCACCGTTTTTTTATTGCAGTTTGTGTCCAATTATTAAAAAAAGTCAAATTTCGTGATTTTTTTTTTCATTTAAAATGCTATTGTATTTAGAAAAAATGGTCCAATGATCATGGATATATTTTTTAAAAACTGTGAATGCAGTTCTAATTAGTATTAAATATAAAACGATGTCTTCTTACAGTAAAGAATCTTCAATATTTAATTTACTTACCCTCCGTGTGACAAACCCGTGGAACATAATATTATGGATTTCTTAACATGTTTATGTGATGACGTATGACGATTAATTGACATGTTTAAATGGAATTAATGTTTTGGTATGATTAACAATAGTGTGACCAATTACAATATAAATATAAAATAATTTGATATTTGCATGCTAATTTAGCGAATCATGTTTGAGCACCATATGTATTGTAACATCTTTTTATTGTACCATGTTTCTTGTAAATAAATATGAATATGAATATCAATATGAACGCCCTGTATAGTATCATTGGGTGCCATGCATGTCTGATAGATTTTAGGCCGGGGATACACATGCTAGTAAAATAGGACAGTAGCTCGCATGCTAGTTAATTGCATATCGAAATAACTGGTGAACAGTGTATATATTTGCAAGTAAAACTGGATGCAGTTTGCCTACTGGCATGCCTGTATTTGCAAGATTTATAAACAGGACAGTTTTTTTTTATGAAAGAGTCACTGGCAAAAATTCGAGTAAAACATAAATTTTTCGCGCCAACCAGTTTGGAAAATGGATAACTATCGAAGTGAACTAAAAAGTATATATCTAGCTTAATTAATGATATATAAAATGAAAAGTAGAAGGCGGATTTGGGTGAGAGATTAGAAGAAAGGAAAATTTTGGAGCAAGTAGTTGCAGACAGCTGAAATGCAATGCGACGCAAAGATGCTGGTGGTTTCCGCAATCATACCACCATACTACCTACGGCTGCAACGCGACAACTACAGGCATGCCAGTTAGCGTATACATATAACAGTAGATGTCACGTGCAAGGAACTGGTATGCAAGCTACAAGCATGTGTATCTCCGCCTTAATTAATTTGACTATATATAAAAAATTATAATTATTTTTAGTTTTAAAGTATTTTCAGTGGTTTAACTTTTTAAATATAGCGGACTTAAGGGAGAACAAGGAACTAAACGATAAAATAAACAAAATCGCAGAATTTAGGTAAACATATGTATGAAACGAACGTATTTACAAAGCGAGACAATGAAAAGTGACAAAAGTTAAATCTATCAAAAACGCAATATTTATAAGTCATGTTCATAAGGAGTTAAGGAGATCGGTTCGCCACATTCTCAACTCATGTCATTATATAAATAAACGATCAATTATTCAATGCATATGTCTTTTACATAAAATATTTATTAGTATTACATTTATTTTAAGCATTTAACTGCTAGATGTAAAAGTGTATGTGTAGTATAGCTAGATTTTTTTTTCTCTTTATTTGTGGCTACAAACAGTCATACATTTTAATATAATTGTTCTGTGGTTACAGTGAAATTATAAGAGACGACCTACAGTGCCAGCAATTTAACTTATTAGTTACAGAAAAACGTCATAGAACAAGTATTGTACTTAAAAAAAATACATAAGAAGACAAAACATATAAGCATGCAAAACTATATTAATTTAAATGTTGTCTTTTAATTTTAGTTTAAGAAATTTCTTTATACTACTATGAGAAATATTAAATATATCAATGTTATTGAAGATATTATTATAATTGTTGGTGGAACGATAAATAAAGGAATTTCGCGTGTATAATTTAGTGAGTGGTGGAGGAACAAATAGTAATCGCTTGCGAGAGGACCGCATAGGCATACGCACACGGTTCACGAAAGATATCCTACTTAAAAGCGCAGAAGAATCTATTTGATCGTTGAGTATTTTATACAAAAATATCATATCGAACATTATACGTCTATTATGAAGTGATAATAACTTATATTCTTTCAATGAGACCTCATATGATTCATTTGTATGTTTAAAGCGATAATTAAGGTGTTTTACAAATATTTTTTGTAGTCTTTCAATTCTATTGATATGGACCTGATAGTATGGACTCCAAACTGTGCTACAGTATTCTAGAATTGACCTTACAAAAGAAGATATAAGTTCCACACTGTCCAGGGGGCCATTCGCCTAACGAAAATGCTTTGGAAAACGCTAACACTTTGTTTTTCCAATTTCATTTTGTTATTTGTGACCGCCGAAGGTTTTCAAATACCTCACGCTCATTTTCTTTAATATTGTTATTACCAATGCAAAAGGAAAAAATAGAGCGCAAGGCATTTAAAAACCTCAGGCGGCTAACAATGACAAAATGAAATCGTAAGCGTTAGCGTTTTCCAAAGCATTTCCGTTAGGCGAATGGCCCCCAAGTGGCAGACGGGACTCGAACCCGCACCCTCCGCTATGAGTACTATTAGTGCATCCGCCCGGATAGCGGAGGGTGCGGGTTCAAGTCCTGTCTGCTGCCTGGGTCGCATGGATTTTTTTTCAATAAAATTTTCTTTAGACTGAATGATCACTTTTTTGTAAGTACACTATCATTCAAATTACAATTAATTAGACAAAAAATTAGAAAACCATGCAATTAGTTCCAGGCAATTGGTGGTTAACTGAACTGCTACATCGCGTCATTCACACTGAAATTATCATTATTAATACTTATAAAGAATTAATATACCATATATATATATATTAATAATATACCTTAAAATACATACATTCACATTTTATAATAACTTAATAGGTTAATGGCCGCAGTAAGAACTTAACTTTTTAGTTTAGATAAAGTTCATGTAACAATTTATTTTTCGTCAACAATAGAATAAGATAACAAATGACTTAATAAAACATCTGATGTCTCTTAGTGCAGATATAAGCATTTACTATATCGTTAGAATTTTTTTAAAAGAGCACATCTTCATAATTTATTACCTACTTTCTTCTAATAAACTATACGTCCTATTAATAAGTTTAGCTATCTAATCTTATCTAATCGTTGAGATAAAAGGAAACATTTTGTAAAGATTTGGATAAGTGATCGCTATTTATTGTAATACATTTGATTCAATTGCTGCTGCTTGGCGGACAATTCATCCTTTTTTAGCAAACCAAACTAGGGATTGCAATCCGGAAAAAAAGATCCGGTAATCTGGCGGATGCGGCATCATTAATCGTTTACTAGATCCAGCACCAATTTATAGGATCCGGTAACCGGATCACGCTCCTTTGGTTTGTTCTAATCTGCCGTCCTCAAGCTAAAATACGGCTAAATGACAAAACCAACTTTTGAGATATGGCCAAAAACAGCACGTAAACTTTAAATTATTGCTATTAAGTAACCATTCATCACATGACTGAATGAATTAAAAACTGTTAACTTGTTTAATACAGAAAATGATTAAATTATGTACCTGTTTTATGTAACAATGACTACTTAATAAATGATTATAAAATAAATGAGAACCTTACCCTTCTAAATTTTGATTACCACAATAATTCAAATACGTAAAATCTTCCATTTTTCCAATTCAGAAGATGATTATGTACCTGTGTTATGTACCAATGACTACTTAAATGATTAAATAACAGAAATGAAAACATGAATATATCCGTAATCAATTGATTTTAATTTTTCATTTTACAAATTATTTCTCTATGACAAAATATATTATTTAAGTATTCGGTATTCGGCCGAATAATATGTAGATATTCGATATTTGGCCGAATATAATAAAAGCAGCCAAATAAGCCGAATACCGAATAGTAACCGAATATTCGTTGCAAGTCTACTTTAAACCTCTTTGAAAAACTAATGAAAAATTAATAATTAAAATAATGTTATGTAATTCAAGCTCATTATTATTCTAATTATTAGACAGATTCATCAAATCATGGCGGTGTCTGTCATTAATATAAGATATATTTGTTAACATTTTCAAATACTTTAATAATATATTCATCTCAGTTCAGTAAATTACGGAATGTTTATTATATGTATATGATTTTATAAAATTATTTACCAAAATAATTGAACTATCTGGGAAAGTAAATACTAGGAAGACTGACGGACTCATTGTGTCGCTAAAATTTTACTAGTTACCTAAACTACTAGTTTAGAATTGTTTCCTCATTGTTTAAAATAAAGTTGGGTATCAGTTCAGTTTGGACTCGAAAAGCTCGAGAAAGCGAAAATAATCCTTAGTCCGGATCAATGAGAATCCGGTCGGATTCGGCCGGATTGAAAATGTCGCCGGATTGCAATCCCTAAACTTAACATTATAAAGTTTCTAATTCAGGGTCCACGTTTGCAGGCTGTGTTTGTCATCCGTTTAATCGCAAATAACAGCAATATTTATAGGTAACTAGCTGCCCCAGCGAACTTCGTACCACCATAAAAAAATAGTAGTAGGTGGTAGAAGGGTGAGATAGATAGAGCAATAGCAAAATAAACACAAAAAAAATTGTCAAAAAAAATTAAGGGTAACCCTTAACATTTAGGTGGTGAAAAATGATGGTGTCCGATTCTCAGACCTACTGAATATGCATATAAAATTTCACGAAAATCGGTCGAGCCGTTTCGGAGTAGTTCAATTATAAAAAAACGCACACCGTGGCACGAGAATTTCATATATTAGATTTGTACTTCAATGCCTTAATTATCTCATTATATGCTTTCCTATAGATATAAAATATTTATACCGAATATACATATTCAAAACAAACGAATTAATAAAATACATTTCAACGGTCTTATAAGTGTGACTACGGAGCCTGAAAAGCCTGTTAAGAATTATGTCATTACAAAACAATTATATAAACATAATAGAAACCTGTTGATAAGAAGCGTGAGAAACATAGGTAACAGGATATGTTCAAGATAAGTTACAAACAAATCTGCATATTATAATTTTATATTACCTACTTAAGCCGCCTTGCAATCAAAGCTCGTAGCTCGCTAGCTGTAACGTAATGTGATATTGTAACCGGGACTAAATCCGTAGAAATTTAACGAATAGTTAGCGGTACTTCGTTGAGGTACCGAATACTAAATGGCTCATGCAACCTGACTGAAATTTCATGGTCTGATTCTTTACTACTTTAAAATTCCTCTCCAATCAAGAATTTTATGACTCATAATTTTCTTTCCTCGATATCTTTTTACAAATTTTACCTTTACGTATATACAATGATTATTCTCTTCTCGAGGTATACTCAACCCATGAAAGTTACGATCAAAGATATTCCATCTGCTTTATTTTTCTATTTAACTAAGGTAACGGGAGAGTACGAGTGTAGGTACTACATGAGAAGTGTCCGGGAGTTTGTTCAAACATATCGACCTATACAAATGTTGATACTACGTATGCGTTAAGTGCATGTTAAACATTTTCGGGGTAAGTGTTTACAACATTAAAAAACGGCAATTCTACACCCTTCTTTAAGTTTGCAAAAATAATTAGTTAAGATAATATTTTAAAAAAGATAAGCCCTTACATGCACTTATTTACATTATATGACAAAATGAAAAAGATCTAAAACAAAGTACAAAATAATTCCAATTCGGGCCACGTACAATAATAAAACACATACATACTTCTCTACTTTATAATAAACTGCACTAACACTGACTGACGTATAATATATAGACAGGTTATACACCAACATTATTGCATTTAAAATGGCACAAGTGTCCCCGCCCCAACTTCCCTACAACAGCCGCTATTAGCGCACTAAAGTAGTCTCTTTCACTCTCATTTATAAAGCAATTACATCTCGCTCTTTACCCTTCACGTGTCAACGGTATCAACAACTGTCAAAATAAGTAAACACTTAATATTTTTACAATTAATTTCTTTAAAACTGTAGTTACAATTTTTTCTTATGTCTTATATTTCCCGTGTATTTTCTGTTCTATCGATAAACACACATAGGGCTTTTTGTCTGAAAAAACGTAGAATATTTACACGTATTTGCGAAGTATAGCCACGGCGAGAGAGCATGACTGAATGCAAGTCGGGCAATGACCCGACTTTAATATTGCCAAACTAGAAGCGTTATGACGTATCTATAACTTTAAAACATCATAGTGGACTAATAAATATTTTTGTAATATAGTATTTTAAGGAGATGGTTCAAATTTGTATTTACTGTGGTAGTGAGTCTCCGGCAACGCTATTTTTTTATGAGATGAAGTGCACTTAATTGTAAGTCGTTTGCAAAAAATCAAGAATTAATTTTTCTTTTTTGAAATAATTATAATTAATTATATAAAATGACATAATTCTTTATTGACAAATGGCAAGTTTATTTATCTATTTTTTGTTGCCAAAGCATCAAATCTATTTTAATTAATAGGTAACTAAAGCAGTGATAATTATTCTGTTCATCATCCATTACATTATTAGGTATTTTAAAGGGTATATTTTTATTTCAAGAAGAATCAATTATATTTTTTTATAATAAGTTCACCACGATTTCAACGACTAAGATGCATGACTGGATTGATTGACATTTGCCATAGTGATTAAGTTGCCGTTATAAGCTGCCCGATCCCATAAATAATAAATTAAATTCATTAATTTATTATCAATCAATCTATTATCAGTGCTGCATCTGCATCGCTAATGCTCTACTAAGATCGCAAGATATAGATATAATGGCATAAAAATTATGAAGGTAATATAATCCGATGGTGTAAAATAAATATTGATCATCAGGTACATTATTCTAATCCCAAACCACTTACGTTAAAGAAATAGGCGATTGAATAAATATTTCTGAGTTTCTTTTTCTACGGTAATCCGATCGAGAATTGAACCTTTGCGATCAAACATCGTATAATGTGTTTACGTAGCTACTGAGGATCAATTGTCTCAACTGGTAACCAAAATCAATAATTATGTTCAAGTTAATTGTATATATTTGATATAAAATATCGTATAAGAATCATGTTTATAGATAGAAGTGTTCACACCATTTGTATACCTTTTGGTATTGCCAAAGCATAGAAAGACTATTATTGACTTACATGTATGTTATATATATTTGGTTAGGTATTGTATTTATATATGTATATATGCAAATTTATTTATGTAGCTATATGTATTATGCAATATATATATATATATATATATATATATATATATATATATATATATATATATATATATAACTATAGTAGTAATAAATTATTTTTATAATTTTTATTATTTTTAAAGCATGTAACTGCTCGATGTTTAAATCTAAAGAAAATATAACTTGAAAAACCGAAAACTAGAAAACCGTCTGCTGCCTGGTCCGCGTGAAATTTTTTCTAGTTATATTTTCTTTAGATTTAAAATTATTTTAAGTTTAATTTTTATTGCACTTTTTGTTTCCCGCTAAGTTTGGAATCTCTGACACCACCTAGGTTGGCTGGAAGAGATCTCTTTTAGAGATAAGCCCAGCTTTGCTAACTATGTATTTGACTTTCTGTTATAAACTGTGCGATGCAATAAAGAGTATAATATATTTGTTTACTACACAAGACGGAAGAGGGTGAAATTATGTAATATCATTAATTATCTTACCTATTCCGTTGATGAGTAGACAGGGCAGTATCAAGTTGAAGACATAGAACATAGGTCGCCTACGTAGTTTGATGACGTATGTGATGTCAGGGTAGGGTTCCACACAGCACGAGTAGTACTGGTTGTGTCGGATGGCCTCAAAACTCACTAGGTCAAACTCGCCGTTCGTTTGGTAATTCGTTGTGTCGCCTCCGTCGAACTGCTTCTTTAGGTCCAACTGCGATAATGAAATGAAAAAAAAATGTTATATTTACATTTTCGTCAGTACCACAAAAAAGCTAGTCATGCGTTTAGACACAAGAGTTTAAGAAAGACTGATGCAACGTTTTCCGAAACATAATTTAAAACAATGTCTATCTTTATTGAAGAACAACGGTTTCAATTACATCTTAGGTCAGAGTAGAGACGACTTTTTTATTTCATTGCAATAATCAGATAAAATATACTACCACAATCGCCTTCAAGCGAAATCTTTCATGGTAGTTAATTACTTTAAATACAATTCACCAAACGATCAGCAAAATAATTCACAGTGTAACTCAATACCGTATGAATGAATTCAGTGGCAATCCCAATCTCATGATGTAGATCCATCTATCTACAATTTATACACCTACTAAGAAGAGTTTAGCGGTAAAAATCCCAATTTAAAAGTCAAATAATCCCGCCTGTCGGTAACTGGAATCAATCGCAGAGTTATTATATATTTCGTAGGAATACCTTTTTACTACATTCGCTTATTACATATTCCCTTTGTGAAATACTAAATTCTCTTTTTCTTTGTTCAATATTTTGCTTTTGTTTTTTTTTTACAATTTATATTAATGTAGTGATTAACGTTCTGAACGCTAGAACATTATATAATTAGCACAAACATTTTTCAATTGGATGCCCGCGACTTCGTCTGCGTCGTTTAATTGGTTTTCCACACAAACTTCCGCTTCCCGCAAAGGATAATTTCTGGCATAAAACTTTCCTATGTCCTTTCCCGGGACTCGAACAATATCTATACCAAATTTCATCTCAATCGCTTCAGCGGTCTAAGCGTAAAGAGATAACGGATAGACAAAAACTCTTTAGTTTTTATAATATTCAGTACTAGAGGGTGCCTGCGGACATATTGGTTGCCACATACAATCTTTCATCCCACTTTTCACACCTTAAAGGGGATATCTAGGATAAATGCTACCCTATGTCCTTTCTTGGGACTCGAAGAATCTCTATACTTTCAAATAATCGTTTTAGGTGTTTAAGCGCGACGAAGTAAGAGACAAAAAGGGAGACAGACAGGAAGATAGACACACTTTTGCATTTATAATATGGCAATTAACTATATGATCACCAAAAAAATAGTAATTGATCCCCAAAAAATACAGTTGGAACCTAACCTTACATAAAGGTGACTAATTGTTTATATGTGATCATTTATAATTTTTTGAGAATAATTTCATGAAATATTTCCCATATAATATACCTAATAGGTAGATTCATTTTGAATGCCCTTTCACGTCATGTAGAGCACTAAATCTGTATTTTTTTTCTCTATAAATAAATATGTTCAACACAATTAGCTTAATTAATAATGGGATACTAGGGTTACTGATAGAATTCATATACTTATATAGAAATACATACTAAAGATTTATATCATTGATAATAATAAGAAAGAAAAGAGGTTAGACTCGTTTTGTACGAACAAAACACTATAACTATAATAATCTAATATATAAAATTCTCGTGACACGTGTGTGTAATTGAACTATTCCGAAAGGGCTCGACCGATTTTCGTGAAATTTTATATGCATAATCAGTAGGTTTGAGAATCGGACAACATATATTTTTCATCCCCCTAAATGTTGTGGTCCACCATTAATATTTTTTTGGACATTTTTTTTTTTGGTTTTTTTATGATACATTATGCAAAAATACATACAACTCTAAATTTTCATCATTCTACCACCAACCCCTATTTTTTTATTGTTCAAAGTTCGCTTGGACAGCAGTAATAATATAATAATAATAATAATTTATATCCAATATGAGCTGATTTACAATTTAACTTATAAAGCTAAAACACTACTAATATCTTTAACGTAACTACATATTTATCTGCTGCCGAGCTAGGCAAAATGCCTGTATTACGGCATACAGCGCTAATACTCTTTCTAAGCAGATGACTTTAACTTCTCAAAGTTTATAAGTTCCGAAATCCGAGCACTTGCAAAAATAACAGAATATTACAAAAATCTATTGCAACAATATGACATTACTGTATTTTTCTGTGCCGACCACTCCGTGTCGTTATCGAATGCTTCAATTGCAGATTTTAGTATTTTATTATGTGCATTTTCTAGGCAGGTTTTCAAAGCAAAATATGCGCTCGAAGAGAAATCTGAAACGAAATCCTCTTATGCTACATGAAAAATGTCCAGCTGGCTAGGCAGAAAGCCTCTTATAAGCTATACACGTTGAAATATATTTTATGATCAGTTTATTATAAACATTACTTAATATTTTTGATATAATATTTTTCATATAACATAAGATCTTATATTCCTATTTATTAAAGGTTTTGTACTTCAGAATAAAGTTAAAGAGTAACTTCGTTAACGTCAGTGTTTCTAAGATGCTATTTCTCTGTAGCGCATTTTTGCATCAAATTAAAATAATAAATATTTAGGCATAATATATGTGAACATTCGCAGAACAAATTAAATTATATGAGGAACCTACCCCACATTGACAAAGGTAAATGAAATTCTACAAGAAGTTGAATGTATGTACCTCTCAGAAAAAAACAGAAAATAGTTAATAATAATAATGTATTCAAAACAAAAAAGGGACCATATTCTTAAGTTTAGAATATTCAATGCGTAAGTCAGGGTTGCCATACGAGAATTCTCGTACAAATACGAGATTTCTGGTTTTCCGTACGAAGTACGAGAACACTACACATATGTACGAGATTTTGTCACATAAATTTATAACATGATTTTTCATTGTTGGCAATATGTTGGAGCATAAACCGTAAGTAATTCGAATCTAAAGAAAATTTCACTGAACATACATTTCTTTACAGTCTATGGTAAGTTGCCCCGTTGGACTATTTTACAATTCTAGGGGGGTGTATATCATGTACGAGGTTCGGAAGCAAGATTACAAGAATTTAGCTATATCAGTACGAGAAAAAAAAATATGGTTGGCAACCCTGAAGTCCAACTCGCGCTTGGTCTATTTTTTAATCGACGACAATAAGGTGGTTTTCCATTCAACTGTATGTTTCTTTATTGTTAAGCGATTTTTCCGTAAATTTAGGGCCGATTTTCAAAATTATCTTTGTAATCCTCCCGTGGTAGACCCATAGAAAAATTAATCTAATCAATTGCTTCGAAGATGTGGAACGAAACGCTTCGTAGGATCATAGTAGAACAAACCAAAGAATGAGGTAATATATGGCTTAAGGAAGCTTAAAATTTGACGTTTCTGAGTACTCGTCTATCCCTTGTCGTGCTGTCAACTCTGAAGAACGGCACCCCAAACTTCTTGTTTGTTTCAAACATTGAGAAGTTATAGTAGTAAGATAAATTAATTAGTTTTTGGCATAATAAAGGGTATTGAATATTCATTTCATCTATTACAAAAATAGTCAATAAAAGACATAATAGCCTTTTGTATTTTGCGCTTTTTTATAAAGTCAATATTTTTTTCCGTGGATCGTTAAAATCCACATTAATTTATTTGGTGTTTCAATTTATAATAATAGAAACGATTATTAATAAACAGCCGAACGGTTTGACCAGCTCAACTTGTGTTACAGTATCAGCAACAACACTGATTTTCAGTTGTCGGTCAAGAGATAGAGATACTTCAACTACATATTGTGTAGATATTACTTCGATACAAACAAGGCAGCTTAAAAATCATTGAAAATAGCTGAAAGATTTTTATTTTAATTTGCGCTTTAATGTTTTGTTTTTATACACGTGGCGAGGAAAACTGCAGTCATTGGAATTGAAGTAAAAACTTAGGACCCAATATCTCTCCAAGATATAGAGAAGAGATAAAAACTACGACAACTTTGATATTTCTCGACGAATAAACTTCTTTAATTTCAACACTCTAATTTTTACACAAAGCAGATAAAGCAAACCTAAAGAAAATTTTACTGGAAAAAATTCCACCAAGACCAGGCAACAGACGGGACTCGAACTCAAACTCGCACCCTTTGCTATCCGGGCAAATGCATGCATGCCGTGTCGAATTTTCTCTAACCTTTCTTAAGTTGCAAGGCAACGCCATCTCTTCGCATTGTAGGTAACCCACAATGTCAAATGAATACCTTTACAAGTATTGCATTTGAAAGAAGAAATAGCAATAATAATTCAAAAAAAAAATTTAATAAAAAAATAATCCACGCGGACTTTTGCACTTAAGATTTAAAGCAGCATCTAGCAGTAACATGCTTAAAAAATAACAAATATAAAAGATAAAGTAAGATAAACTGAAGCTATTATACGCACTGTTGCTGGTTTTTTATTTAAAGGTCGTCGATATATTATTACTCTTCAAATAATTGCTGTCTGGTGAAATTATTTATTGAAATTAGTGTGTGTGTAGAGTGTAGCTGATGCGGCAGAACAATGTAGCGCTCCAAGCATTTTTTATAATTCCGGCCTGTATATACGGCGCTTTTGTAGAATAAAATCTAACTTTTGACATTAATTATATATGCATACAAATGAACAGCAATGACTATAGAAGCAGCCAGGCAAGTAATACATATTTAATAATTGTCTTAACTTCAAAGGAGATTGCTCAAATTGGCCCAAATGCACAAAAAATATTGACATACACGGTAATTCTTGGCGTAATTTATAATTTAATTTACAGTCATTAGATTTCAACGGACACCTTTGTATAATATATTTACTTCAAAAAGGACTTTTAACTTTACCGGTTTGGAAAACATACGAATCATTTTTAATGGCTATGGGTGTAGTAGCATTCAGCCAAAGACTGATCGAAGTTGTTTATATAACATAAAAACAAATCTATTTTGTAAAGATCGATAAAATAAATCATTTTTTTTCATTCCACTGTGGTATTAATATCCACAACCATTTTATCATTTTCACTACATGCAAATGTGCTCACACAATTATTATAGATGGTAGGCGACATCATAAAGTCTATTGCCATACATTTTTTGCCAAACAC